GCTGAGAGTCAGGTCCGACTCGACGGCACATAACAACAAGAACAACAATTCTGGTGGCATAGTGCCTAAAGCATATGACTGCTGACCAGAAGGCTGATGGTTCAAACCCACCAGCCACTCCTCAGAAGGAAGGATGGGCAATCTACTTCCATAGAGATACTGCCTCAGAAACCCAAGGAAATGTTGCTGCGAGTTGGAACCGACTCAATGGCAATGAGTACTATTATTGTGGAGTTGTCTACTTCTCTTTTCAGTTCTGTTAAAGTTTATGTATTTTGGGGCTTTTTCATTGGATACATATTTGTTATGGTTATGTACTCTTGTTACACTGACTCCTTTATCATTATATAATGTCCTTCCTTGCCTTTTATGCTGGTTTTTGCCTTAAAGTCTACTTTATCAGTAATCAATATTGTCACTTCTGCTCTTTTTGATTGTACTTACATTGGTGGAACAGGCAGTGTAGACTGGCACCATCTGGGCAGTGGCCCTGCCCTCCAGACTCTGGGTGTTGGCCATTCTCTGTAGATTCAGGTTGGAGGTCCCTCAGCCCTGGGCTTCAATACTGCCTTACAGGCCCCCTGGAATGGCAAGTCACCTCCCTTGGCTTTGGGCAGCCCCATTCTCCTACTCCTGGAAGGGCCACCCTCTTAGCCCCAGCAGATCCTGTTATTCTGCCCCTTGGGTGTGGCAGCCCTACATTTTGCAACTGAGTTGGTGAAAATTTGACTCTTTGAGCCTAGGAGGCCATGGCTCTTGTGAGAACTCAAAGGGTGTGGCCCCATTCTTAGAAATCAGACACCATAGCCCCCCACCTTTGAAACCTAGGTAGTTCTGCTTCCTGTGCTCCTTCTAACAGTTCTGCTGATCCAAGCTGCTGTAAGAATGGTCCTTTTCTTTTCTTGGAGAACAATAGATGCAGCTCCTTTGGCCTGTTTTCTGCACGTACAATTTCAAGAGGCAGACAGTTTCTTTCCTTTCATTCATTCTCTAGGCCCTTTAGTCTAAGCTGATGGGTTTTCTGTGGTAGTTGGTTAGATCCATCAGTCATAGGTTTTATCTCTTTAACAAAAGACTGTGTAGCCACATCTTTGGTGAACATTCTAGAATACGTGCCCTTAGTTTGTACAACAGATCTTCCAAATCTTTTTGTTCCCATTTTGAACAGCTTCTAAAACTCCATCTCTTTCCTCTCACATTTCACTATAAATAGCAAGGAGAAACCCCCTGATCCCTTTAAGATTTTGCTTGGAAATTTCCTCAGCTAAATATTCAAGTTATCACATACAAGTTGTACCTTCCACCAAACATCTGAACATAATTCAAACAATTTTTTTGCCACTGCGTAAAAAGCATCACTCTTCCTCCACTATCCAGTCATATATTCATCATTTTTCTTTAAAGCCTTGCCAAGATATTTACTGTTCATATTTATAGCAACGTTCTGTTGTTGGTGTTATATGTATTCCCTAATATGATACTTTCTCCATAGCACTCCTCACTTCACCCTGAGCCTCACTAGAATAGCCTTTGATGTCCATTATTCCACCAACAGTCTCTTCATGAAATCTAGGCCTTTACTATTGTTGTTGTTGTTGTTGTTATTTGCCACCGAGTCGGACCCAACTCACAGCGACCCCTCCTTGGGTTTCTGAGGCAGTATCACTACTTGTATTTGTTGGCATAGCACTCTACTCCTGGTACCAAATTCTGACTTACCTAGTGCTGCTATAACAGAAATTCCACAAGTGTATGGCTTTAACAAACAGAAATTTATTTTCTCACCATATAGGAGGCCTCAACATCTGAATTGAAGGTGCCAGCTCTAGGGCAAGGCTTTCTCTTTCTCTGTGGGCTTTGGAGGAAGGTCTTTGTCTCTTCTGAGCTTCTGGTCCTGAGTGATCTTCATATGGCTTGGCACCTCTCTTTTTCAACCTCTGCTTTCTCACTTGCTTGTTTAATTCTCTTTCATAGCTCAAAAGAGATTGACTAAATACATACAGTATACTAACCCAGCCTCATCAACATAAAAAGACAACCCATTACCAAACGTGATAGTAATCACAGATATAGAGATTATTCTAATTTATAACATATTTTTTTTGGGACACAATTCATTAACAGTATGTATGTATTAAAATATATCTGTAAGTTTATATGTAACATTTCCAACCTCTAAAGACAAAGATTGGATTTATAAAGATAGTGATAATAAAAAGCAGTAATAATGAAAACTAAAAATGAAAAAATGAAGTATGTGATGTACGTCTGAACCAACTTACAATCTCATCATCAGAACTGAACCCGGTCATAAGTTGGGGATTACCTGTACTCAAATTTATCATGTGAAAAACCAGTCTTTAGGCACAAAGTTATTGTAATCCACAGTGGCACTCTAAGTTTATTTTATAAACATATAAAAGAAATACAGTGTTTGCCAAAGCACTATTATGTTGGAAAATAAGTATTTCTGAATAAATTTTTATCTCGATACCTTTATATAGCACTGAAAATGCAACCTCAAGCTTATAAAATACAATGTTTTCCACAGAGTAATGTGCAGTGATAGGTTCTACAGCTTAGTTTCCACAGTACACAATACTGTATCATCCTGGATAATGCTATGTATCAAACATAGGCCAAGCAAAATCCTATTTTGAGATTAAGATGTGACAGGCACCAACAAACATAAGTAGAAACTGAATAGGTCAAGATGTGCTGAATACTAAATCCACTCATGTTGCATCACACTACTAATGCACATTTAACTCATTTAAAGATTAATGAAGAATTACAATTTTGCAGTACATTAATTGTTATTGGTTTAGTAAATGTAAAAATATTTATAAAAAAAAAAACCCACAAAAATTCCAAAGAAATTCTAAGTAAAATTACTTTTATTTTCATAAATAGAAAGAAATCTCATTATACACACACTTTTAGCAGATGTAAATATATTAGCTGTCGTAAGTATTAAATATATGCAATAGTTAACATAAATTTACATCTCCATAAAATTTCATGTAACTTCTTTACATTTGTTACTTCCTCAACTTTTCTAACAGCATTCCAAAGATTATATGTAATGGGACATCTTGGTCACATAGTACCACTTCTGCCGAGTAAAATGGATATTATCTGCCATGTTAATGCTGACAAATATTGATTTGAAGTAATAATTGCATTTTACAGAAGCACTGAACATAAACTATTTCACGTACTGTAGTATGATCCACAAGTATGTCAATGTGAAGACATAGTAATGAGATTCATAAGCACTAATAACCTAAGATAAATAGGTCCACAGGCAGAGTGCAATATGCTGGCATCAAGTATTGTAAGTTTTGTCTGTAAATGGCATACAGCAAAAACAGACTTATAATATTGTAAGGATCACATAAAATACTTTAATTTTTTAATATTATTTTAAATACATTTTTTAATATTTAACAAAGTAAAATTAAATGTCTATTCCATTATTTCTGGAAACTGCAATTTCAGATCTTATATGTTATACTCCAAGGAGTAATTAGCATTTTGATATATTTGAAAAACCTCCACTGATACTATGTAGCTTTTTAAAAGGAGTGTACATGATGATATACAGTTTAAATAAACATTTATTTGAACACAATATTGACTCAGATAGGCATTTCTTCATAAAGAAATGTATATTCCTGTCTCAGTACTTCATGTAGATTTTCTTTAGGGTAATTGTATTTATTTCTCACTGGCTTGCTATGTGGAGTCAAGGGTTTATCTAGTAAGTGCTTAGCACAGTACCTGGCACAGAATAGTAATTATTACTATTTCCATTACATGACTAAATCTGTCATTTATGACAGAAAATTGATTAGAGCCCCAGGAGAATAATTAAAAGATAAACCTACAGATGTGTGACTTCTGTTAAAGTGTTATGTAGCCACTATTTCTCAAGTTTGTGTATATTTTAAACTGTCTCAAACATTACAAACTATTTTTAAGATCATATTATCTATGTCTGTTCTCTAAGTTTTTCCTATGGCCTTTTGCATAAAGGAAAACAATTTTGACATGATATGTATGTATTAGGAAACAATATGAATGCAAGGTACACCAAAATCAGGTAACAAAGGCATTTTACCATAACTTCTTTAACAAAGAAGTAGAGTTATTAGTGTAATTCAGGACAACCTATCTTATTTAAGTTTAATGATATTTCTTTACACCATGCAGTACTTCTTCAAAAAACATTTTCGTTCTGTATTATCTCATAGAGAAACACTACGAGCTATTACAAAGTTCTTCATCTAAGTAAAAAACCCACTAGAAAAAGTACTTGTAAAAATCACTGTAGGTTTATTGAGACTGAAATGATGCACAGGGCCAACAGAAAGAAACAAATTCTAAATTGCTCTCAACACATACCTATAGACACTGACTTTTGAGTAAATTATATATCCTAATAAATGTAAGGGATTTAGTATAAATGAGTTTAATCATAAGCAATTTTTTTTCCCCACCAGAAATGATAAATGATTCAGAACAACTTGTTGTTTATGCTACAATTAACATAACGGTGAAGTTAAGAAAAGGTCTTTGTTAAAAATTGATTCCTATCATTCTTGTGTGAAACAAGAAGGAAAATTTTTGTAAAGATAGAAAAATATATCTGAAAACACATGATTCTGACCATTAGTATATTATCCTGAAACCACTCAGAATTCAGAAAAAGACCCAACCCCCTAAATACAAAGAGTATGGGGAAACCAAGGACCAGGACTAACAGCCTTTTAAAAGGAGTGTAAGCACAATAAAATCTTTCAAAAGTTGTCCTGATTAAAAAGGAGAGTCAGGAAAGCAAGCATAAAATATCTCTACTATATTAAAAACCAAGAACAGATAAACTGAAGCATATTCCCTCTGAAATATGAACGTATATTTCCTATAGTAATGAATCATTCTATAGGCTTCAGAGAAATGATTTTAAGAAATATGAACCAAAGGTCCACAGTTTATACACTAGTGGAGAAATTCAATGTATACACTGTACCAATGCATGTTAGGAAATGTAGCACCCAGTGTCCTTTTGAGGTTTGATATCTGGTTCTTTCACAGGTTTTACTTCTTCTTCTGGTTTGGGCTTGGTCTAAGCAAAAAGAAAAATATAATATAAGTACATAAACTAAGATTTGAAAAGTAAACACTAACTCTTTCTGTTTTAAAAATGTTTTTATTAAATAACAGTGAAACACTGAGATTAAAAAAGGTGCTCCAGTAGCTATACATAATCAGAAAATAACATTCTAGTGAAGATAAAAATCTAGGTTGGCAGGCAAAAATCATGCCACTGATATACTCTACTCCACACTCTTTCTGAGGAGGGACAAACTGAGTGATGAGTCTATGTATGTAGAACCCTTAGATTTGAAGATAATTTATGTTAATAACACGCTATTCCTAAAGGCATTATTTTAGAGGCTGAACAGGATACAAGTTGGTTATTTTAAGGAATAATGGTTTTAGTTTGGAAGGGAAATTATACAAAAACAACCTAATTTCAATGAAGGAATTATGGCTGCAACATTCTTCCCATTCCTTATGCCACAAATTTCTAGTCTTTTGGTAGTTAAACCTCAAAATTTCCTTTTAATCTACCATTTGATTTAGATATAAATGAATAAAAAGTCAGATTTTACCCCTGATGATTTAATGGAATACTGAAATTAGATTCTATCTTCAAATTGTCTGCCCCATTCTAAATTAAAAACAGGGAGTACTGCTAGAGTACTAGGAACATGGATAAGCCATTCTTTTTAGATCTTTCCTCCTGCCACTGTTGTTGAAGGAATGAACTGACAAGTTATCAAAAGGCAAGATAATGTATTGGAAACACTATCAATCAATTACGTACAAAATGAGAAGACAAGGACTCATCTTTAAGAGAATTCTAAGACAGATTTTACCAGGTACTGTAATTAGCTAATTTAACATCCAGACACATATATTTACTAAAACAGAGAAAAATATAAAAATTTTAACTCCTTATTCTCTTTTAAAACTTTCTTGAGTAGAAGAAATATACTCAATCTCATACACTGTCATCCTTGGGTCTCTTGGTGAGATCAAATGTAGCCAATGTTTCTGGTGTCCAGTGAGCACTTGTAGGAGGAAATTTGAAAGGTATTGGCTCTACAAGACCATAATTTGCTTTCAGTTCCAGTGCTGGAGCTTCTGTTGGAACTTTTTGGAAGTAACTGCAAAAAAAAAAAAAAAGTTTAAGTAGCAATTTCATTCATTTATTTGGTAACTATCTGAGTGCTTATGTACCAGGCCCAGGTGAGACAATGTCAATTTAATGATGAATAAAACAGACTTCCACACTTCATGTAACTTACAGGGAAGTGAAATAGTCAACAAACCTTGTCAATTACAAAGCAATGTAACCTAAGCTATGATGGATGTAAGGTTAATGAGAACACAAAAGAGGGGCAATTAACCCAGACTTAGGGGTTCTGAGGCAATTCCTAAACAAAATGATGAAAGCTGAACCCTAGGTATGTTTAGGGAAATAAAATGAACTCACTCAGTATGACTAGATGTGGAATATAAGGGGAATAATGTAAAGAGATAGAAGTAGGGTTGAGGTTGATTCTACCAACCTTACATAGACGGTGATCTATGTAGTTTAAATACCACTGACTTAACAATGGAAAACCACTTGGTATGACTGGGAAGGATTGAAAGGAAAGTAATTTTCTTGCTTTAGAGGCGGCTAAAGCGATAGTGAGATGAACACAGAAATGCAGTTGAGTAGGTATGTATAACATAGGAAGAGGGAATGCCAGTGAAACAAAGTTAAGAAAAAATTAGGACAAAAAAGAAGTGTCCGAATGAATTACATGTTAGTAATTCATGTTTAAAGTTTTATATCTGCTTTTTCCTATCATCCTCAGAGGCAGAATAAATGTTAGGCCCTAAACGATTGAACTTTAAGAGAAAATTAATGCTATCTCAAATGCAATTTAACATAAAACTTTTGGGAATAGAGATTAACAGAAAATGTTAGTTAATATTACTAAGACATAAAACAGCTGTACTCACATAAATCCATTTTCTCTTTGGCACTTTTCTAGGGTATTCTTCACTAGACTTCCAAGTTTCCTGAAGAACAAGTGTCCTGAAGGTTTGGCTGTTGGTCCTGGTCCTTTGGTTTCCCCATACTCTTTGCATAATGCTTCTGCCTTTGCATAAACTACATGTGCAAGGAATATAAAGTCATTTGAGTATAATTAATTATCTATTTATATTAAAAGGCTTTAAATCAGAGATGACAAGAAATGTTACTGCTCTTTACCTAGTAGAAGATCAATTATGAATAAGAGTGGAAGTGTTTCTGTGTATTTTCAACAGGTCCTATATTTCCAGAACTTTGTTCTCCCTTCTAATGACCCAACACACTCCCGTTCTCTTTCATCAAAAAAAACAAAAACAAAACCAAACTCACTGCCACTGAGTCATATTCCGACTCAGAGCGACCCCCATTGGGTTTCCCAGGCTGTAAATCTTTACAGAAGTAGAGTGCCCAGTCTTCCTTCCACAGAACAGCTGCTGGGTTTTAACTGCTGACATTCCCATTAGCAGTCAAGTGCCTTATCTTTTTTAACTTCCCAACTCCCTTTATGTTAAGACATTTGTTTTTACAAAGGCAGGTAATATTTTAGCAGAAACACTTACATTTTTCTGCTTCTTGAAGAGACCTGATTGCTTCACCACATTTATCACTAGCCAACAAAGTCTGACCATGGTAACAGTAGGCCTGGTAAAAGAAACAACATTTTTATTCATTTTCTTCCTAAATGATTTTCTCCACTCCCACCGTTTCATGCATGTGTCAGATGAATAAGTAGTACCTTTGTCTATTGTTTAAAGTATCAGTGCAATCCCTTAATTTTCTTTACTTAAGCATTTCCTCATCTCTGCTCAATGGGATTCATATAAAAGGTACAATTACGTGAAGCTTTGAACCAAACTAGCCTTCTAACCACAGCCTAAAAAGTCTTTACTAAAACCCATTTTAAAAACAGTAGACAAAGGAGGAAAATCACTGTGCTGAGGCAGAGGGAGAGTTCTAAGGTTAAGTGTTAAATAGTTTTTTTTTTAAGATTAAATTCTTTTTATTTTTTAAATTTTTATTGTGATCTGGGTGAGAGTTTATAACGCAAATTCACTTTCCATACAGCAGCTCACTTTGTCTCATGACACTGACTGCAATTTTCCACAATGCAACAGTTCCCCTCCCATTTTCTCCCCATACTTACCTCTTCCCCTGTGCTCTTCCCTCCCATGCACTCCTGCCCCTGACATGTCTCCCTGTGCATACAAAGCCCTTCTATTCTCCCATGATTGACCTCTCCAAAGAGTGATATAAATGTTCAGCTTATATGCCTGTCTTTTGTTTGGCTGGAAGCCATACGAGTGGGCTCAATTTTAGACCTGAAGGGCAGCTAGGGGCCACAGTCTCAGGGGTTCCACCAGGCTCTATCAGACCAGCAAATTTGGTCCCTTTTTTTTTTTTTTAATGATTTTGAGTTTTTTTCCACATTGTTCTCCTCCTCTATCCAGGATCTCCTACATAGATCCCCCTCCGTATGGTTGACAGTGGTAGCCAGGTACCATCTAATTCTTCTGGTCTCATAGTCATATAGGCTGAGATCACATGGTTTACCAGTCGCTTGGGCTGTTTCCATGCATCTCTGTTTTTTTTCATTGTTCTTTGCTTTGGACAAGGAGAAATGTATCATTGCATCTAGATGGCCACTTGCAAATTTTTAAGATACCAGTTGTTACTCGCCAAAGTAGGATGTGGAACGTTTTTATGTAGTATGTTATGCCAACTGAGCTTCATGTGCCCTGTGGCTATGGTCCCAAGAAGTGGTAAAGAGGTTTTTAAGAGACATCTGTAGCAGCCTGAAGTAGGATACCATTACAGATTGATAATGTCCCCAAAGACGTGTTATAAATCCTATCCTCTATGCCTGTGGTTACAATTCCATCTGTGAATGGGCTGTCTTTATTATGTTAATGAGGAAGGATTAATGTAGAGTGTATCTTGAGTCAATCTCTTTTGAGATAAAAAAGAAATTAAACAAATGAGTAAAGGAGAGATAAGACAGATAAGGGATAAGATAAGATGCCAAAATACATGGAGATCACCAGGTAACCAGGAAGCAGAAGCTGAAGAGACAAAGCCTTTCCTCCAGAGATGATAGAGAAAGCCTTCCCCAAGAGCTCAGCTCTGATTTTAGACTTCTAGCCTCCTAATCAAATCAAACTCACTGCTGTCAAGTCCGACTCATAGTGACCCCTCCTTGGGTTCCCGAGATGGTACCTCTATGGAAGTAGATTGCCCAGTATTCCTTCTGAGGAGTGGCTGGTGGGTTTCAACTGCCAGCCTTCTGGCTAGCAGTCAAATGCCTTAGGCACTATGCTACCAGTGCTCTAAACAGGGAAAACAAATTTGTTAATGCCACTCTGGTGCAGTGAACTACTTGGTCTTCTAAACATGGTCTTTGTGACTTCCACTGGATGGATGACTGGGCAGAACTATACAAACATGAGGTGTTTGTGGTCCACCAAGGGGACTGAGTAGCTTATTAATAATGTAAATAAAGTATATGGCACTCTTGTGAGGGTGGGACCATGGAAATAAGGTGTATGGAACTCTAATGGGGGGATTGGTTAGTTTTGTCACTCTATTAGGCTTAAAATGAGCCCTCCGAGAGGCAGAAGAGGGGATCTCACTATCAGGTCAGAAAAACCGAGAGAGGAGTGTGTTACTTGGACCCAAGATCCCTGTGCTAAGACGACTGCAAAGGTGACTGGCAAAGAGACCGTGGCAGCAGAACTAAGAGACCAGCCGCCAGAGTGAGAAAGCCGAGTGTCTTTGAGCAGGAGGCTTACAAGTAGAGTGGGGTGCACCTACAGGCAGAGCTAGAAGAGCTTTGTAACACTTGCTGGAGCAGGGCTGAGGCCAGGCCAAGAAGCCAAGGGCTAAAAAGAAGTGTGCCTACAGGCACAGCAAAAGAGAAACTGTCTGATTGAAGAACTGTATCCTGAGTGCATTCTTGAACTGGAATTGTAACCTGTTACTTCCTTAATAAGCCCTGTATCTTGAGTATTGTCTGTGAGTTCTATGTGGCCAATCCAATGAATTATCAAACCCTGCAGAGAAGTAAAGGGTGCCGCGGGAGGGATGGCTGGTGTCAAAATTAGCAGAAAGGCTAGAAGGCGGCATCATAGGAATCAGCAGTCACAGGAATCAGCCTGGGGCTGCTCATCAGAATTCTCCCCCTCCTGATGTTAGAGGTCAGAGGAGGAGGATCCCCAATGCCCTTTTTGCAGCCACCTACTTGGGGTATTTCTGTGATAGCAGCACTAGATAACCAAGGATTTATAAGACAACAGATAAGGCAGAAAAGTAGGGGTGTTGCTCTAACAGATAACTAAAACATGGAAGCAGTTTTGGGTAGAGACTGAAGAGTTTTAAGATGTGTAACAGTACCAGCCACTCCTCGGAAGGAAGGTTGGGCATTCCTACTTCCGTAGTGATACTGCCTCGGAAACCCAAGGAGGGGTCGGGGCCGACTCCATGGCAAATAACAACAACAACAACAGTAAAAGCAGATTGTCTTGAAGAGATTATTGGTAGAATTACAGATGTCAAAGACAATTCTGGTGCGGGCTCAGAGTGAAGTGAGGAGACCTACAGAGAAAGTCTCAATTGTCTTAAGAGAATACACGTGGCACCAGGAACAAAATGTTGCTAAAAATGTGGATGTTAAATGTCCTGGTAAGGCTTCTAAAGAAAATAATGAATATGAGATTGGACAATGGAAGAAGGGTGATGCATTTTACAAATACACTTATATAGTGGCAAAGAATTCATCTGAATTAGGTCTGACTGGTAGAAGGTAAAACTTTTAAGTGATGAACCTGGTTATCTGGCCAATGAGATTTCTAAGCAAGCTCTTAAAGGGCCACATAATTTCTCCTTGCCACTCACAGTAAAATGAGAAAGGAAATAAATGGACTTAAAAAAAAAAAAAAGCTGTACAAAATGAAAACAAAACTTAAAAGATGTGAAAGATTCTGTTGTATAAACTAAGAAAACAAGTCCTAGAATGTCTGCCAAAGATATAGCTACACAACCTTCTGGTGAAGAGATTAAGCCTGAGACTGATGGATCTAACCAATTACAATATACCTATCAGCTTAGACTGAAGGGGCCAGAGAAAGAATAAAAGAAAAGAATGCTGTGTGCTTCTTGACATTCTATAAGCAAGAACCAGGCCAAAGGAGCTATATCTGTTGTCTTCCAAAAGAAAAAAAAAAAAAAAAAAAAAACACCAAACACATTGCCATCAAGTCGAATCTGACTCATATGACCCCTCCTGGGTTTCTGAAGCAGTATCACTACAGAAGTAGATTGCCCAATCTTCCTTCTGAGGAGTGGCTGGTGGGTTTGAACCACCAGCCTTCTGGTTAGCAGTCAAATGCCTCAAGCACTACACCACCAGAGCTCCTCCCAAAAGAAAAGGACCATCCTTAGAGCAACTTGGATCAGCAGAACTGTTGGAAGGAGTATGGGAAGCAGAGCCTTCTGTTTCAAATGGTGAGGCTAGCCAGAGTGTACTGCCATGCCCACAGAGCAGAAGGGGCCTGCCAGGGCCAAAGGAGTGGGATCACCAATCAGATGAATTAGAAAAATGGGGCCACCTAAAGGTTGGGCAATCCTACTTCCATAGTGATACTGCCTTGGAAACCCAAGGAGGGGTTGCTATGAGTCAGTTTGACTCGACGGCACATAACAACAACGACAACAAAGCCAAGGGAGCAGAGTTCCTATCCCAGAGGGTCTAAAGGTAGACCTGAAGCCCAAGGCAAGGGGCCTCCATTCAGAATCTAGAGGGCATGATCAACACCCAGATTCTGGGGGCAGAGTTACTGCCTAGATGGTCCCAAACAACAGAGGATTATTTTCAAGCCTTGAGAACCAATGTAAATTGTTTTGCTGGGTTTTAGACTTGCATGGTCCCTGTTTTCCCTTCTTTCCTTCAAATTTCTCCCATTAGTAATGGAAATGTCTAACCTGTGCTTGGTGCACCATCATACTTTGGAAATAGCTAACTTGTTTTCTAGATTTCACTGGTTCACAGATAAAGAGGAATTTTGTCCCAGGATGGAGCATGCAAGTTTCATCTCCTATTTGACTTAGATAATTGAGAAGATCAGATTTGGGACATGAAGTTGATTTAAGTCTTTTGGCATGGTATGACTGGGTGAATATGTTTTGCCATGTGGCAAGGAAATGAATTTTTGGGAATCAATGGGTAGAATGCTGTGGATTGAATTATGTCCCCTAAAAATGTATGTTGCAAATCCTAACCTCTGTGGTTATAATTTCATTTGTAAATGTGCTATCTTTCTTATGTTAATGAGGCAGGGTCAGTATATGTCTTGAAATCAATCACTTTTGAGATGTAAAAGAGATTAAATAAGCAGAAGAGATGGGGTAAGACAGATGCCAAGACACATAGAGATCTCCAAGGAACTAAAGTAGAAGCTGAAGCAACAAGGACCTTCCTCCTGAGCCAATGAAACAATTTTTCCCTGAATTCAGAACTCTAGCCTCCTAAACTATGAGAAAACAAATTTTTGTTTGTTAAAGCCACATAGTTATGTGGTAGTAGCACTAGATAACTAAGATAAACATGTTCACTCTTTAAAGGTCTTCATCAATGCAGGGGGTGCACATGTTCTTAAGCAGTGTACTTGAAACAGACTGCAAAACGTAAGAAATATAATAATCAACTTAGATCTGAAAAAGGCCTCTGACTATCTCTTATACTTTAATCAAGAAAACAAGTAAGTGCATTTGGTGGGTTTAGTAGACTTATGAGTAACTTCCAAAAATTGAAAAGTTATTTTCAAAAGTTATTTGATGGTTCTTCACTAACCCAGATGACAGATTATGTGACACGCCTTGAGATTAGAATTAGTAAATATCTTTCTAAATGTACTGGATGAAATGACTGGGAGGATTTTCATTAAGCCATCAGAAGGTTCCAGATTAAAAGTGTTTTTTGAATCAAACAGTAATTCTATTGCTATAATCCACTTCTACAATTCCACAAGCCTCTCTTCTTACCCTATTAGGTTCACAATGGTTCCACTCAGTGAATTCACTGAGAACTGTCATTATTTGTAAAATGCTAATGAGGAGTTTGGCCCCAGAGACCTAGCACTTAAGGGGCTGGAAAGAAAGTAATTAACACTGTCCTCAGTGTTACAAATACTTACATAAGCTGTGTAGAAACACATTTTTAAGTGAAGATATTTTCTCCATTTTGCAGAGTATGCAGGCTCCAAACTGGATAAAGTATGATCTAAAGTTACGTTTTAAAAAGCAAAATATAATTTCACCCTGCTAGATTTTTCAGTTCACATGTTTTAATGCTTAAAGTAGAATGCTATTCAAGCCACAACTCAAGCATTTGTACATTAAAAACAAAAAACAAACCACTTTAAGTACTTTCAAGTAAATATTGATCACACTATTGTATTTTCTATTTTAAAACATTTTTATAATACAGTAATGTAAAGATTAGCCTAGTCACCCAAGTGAGAAGCATGGAAGATACCTGAACACATGTGCTCCCCCACACTCATTCTTTTGTCTAACATCTCTCAAATCTATTGCCTCTCCATTTGCAACTTCACATCTTTGTCAAAGCAATCATAATTTCTTTCATAGAATATAATTTCCTCCTAAGTGCTAAGTGTAGTCAGCCTACTACTCCTTCACTAGCAATTCCATATTACAACTGCAGGGATCTTTCTTAAATTCAAATCTAATCAAGTCAGATTTGTATCTTTTCATAGACCCCAAGTATCTACAGAATAAAGGCCCAGCACCTTATGTTGCACACTTTTCTAACCTATTGTCCTATTGCTCATTCCATGTTTCTGCTAAGAGCGAGAGCAACTATCTGACGGTTCCAGAATGTGCTAAGCTCTTTCTTATCTCTGTACTTATTACAGAATGCTCCACTCCTACTATATTTCAGAGCTTGCTAGCAAACTTCTATTTATATTTCAAAATAAGGCTTCCTCTAGTTGTTTAGGTTCTTTCTTCACTGCTGTAATAATATCTTACTTCACACTACAATAACGTGGTTCGTATTTGTTTTCTTCTCTAGACTGTGAATCTTTTTCACTAATCTTTGTATTTCCAACAACTAACAGAGTAACCATCTCATATATATAATCTTATGAATGTTTCCTGTAGGAATGAATGAAAAGATCAATAAGCTAATCAGAAGAACTGAGTTATAATCCTAGCTTTTCATCTGCTAGCAGTAAAATTAAGGACTAATCATGCCAAACCCCTTGATTTCATTTTCTGGTTCAAATAAGGATAGTATCTATATGGTCTTCTTCACTAGGTTGTTACGAAGACCAAAAACTTTAAAAAGCAAAATAGCTGTTGTAATTACTAGTTATAACTGACTAGAAAGTATAGCATTGTCTTTTCCATTAAAACAGAAACATACTGTGAACAGCTTTAATTCTTTTATTTTGCAAAAGATGAACTTTTTTGTTTTGCCTAGTAAGCCTAGAGCTGATAAATCTTTTTGTTCTGAGAACCTTTTCATTTTCTCTCTAAACCCTAATGCTAATAAACCTGAAAATCTAAAGACTAGAATAACCATAATGATAGAATTATAACTTACCAGCTTTCTGATAGAAATTGGCTGTCTCATATGCCAGTGCAGCAATAAGTCCTGGGGCATGTTTTAGTTCAATTGCTCGAGCAATTGTTACTGTGATCAAAACATAAAAGTGACTCTACAAATAAGGTTACTTTTATTCACTTAATACAACAGCAATAGAAAGTCCGACAGTCTGAAAAGTGAGATTTTAATATAGTTTGCCACAACAGCTTTTACATGAAAAAAGCTACAAAACAGGTAAATATGAACAACAAACAGAAAACAATGAGCTTGTTGCTTCTGGTAATATTGCTTTAAATAAATCACTACCTAATCATAGAGAATTACTGCTACAAAATAGTATGACATAATCTAAAACATAGTATTTTCAAGACACTACAGTTTGAAATTAAGAAAAACAAAAGCCTGCAAAGTGTTCTTTTTTTTAATTGTTTCACTTATTCACTGCTGTCAAGTGGGATCTGACTCAGCGACCCCTCCTTGGGTTCCAATGCAGTATCACTACGAAGTAGATTGGCCAACCTTTCTTCTGAGGAGTGGCTGGTGGATTTGAACCGCCAGTCTTCTGGTTAGCAGTCAAATGCCTTAGACCCTATGCTACCAGAGCTCCCAATTATTTCACTTAAGTCCCCATTTATTTCCTAACATCGAAAGGCAAAGATTTCAAGGTAAGCCAAATAGTGGCTACTTTAAATCCATTCCTTAGTACAGATCCTTGAGTCTAAGAACAAGAATTTCACTAAAATAGATTAACACTAACCCCAGAATTCTGCCTAGTCCTATCATGCCTCCATTATCAATGCTGTTTGACTGAAGAAAGAAACCTATCCAAGGAGTATATTAAGCCATGAGAAGAAAAGAAGAGGAAAAGGAGAAAAATGAGCTAAAGAATTAATTTTATGCTGTCAGAAAGGAATGAAATAAAAACTCTCTTCAAGGAGTGTTACAATATTTAGGGATACCTTCTTGAGCTTCTGCCTGACACTGGATAATATAAGCGTCTATAAGCCGTGCCTCTAAATCCCTTCCCTTTTCTGCAGGTGTAATAAGTTTTGGGATATGATTTTCCTAAAAGAGAAAGAAAAAGAGATAACAGAAGTCAAATTTTATTTTAACCCAATTGTCAGATGAAGGAAATGGACATGATAAGATGTATAATTTGGGGATTTACTTAGGGAACAAACAAAAACTATGTAAAAAGGAGCAATATTAACTAAAAACGTCTATATGTTATACAACTCAGATTTTATAAGAACAAAATATTCAGGAGCAAAATTGTGATCATAAAAGCTTGCTTAGGTATGAAAGCCATACATAGTTTCATCTTAGAAAATGATGAACTGAAATAGCAAGCAAAGCTCCCTTTTGTACAACAAACAACAAATGAAAAGAAAAAACTACTGATAATTCTATAGCCGATTCTTGATCACTGCTGTTCAAATCACCATAAAAGCATCTCCTATAAGAATACTGGCCTCCAGTAGGCCCTCAGTAATTCTAATAAAACCACTTAGAAGTGGAGGAAAATCTGGTTAGAAAATACATTATTCTTTTTCCCGATTACGACTACATCTCTATACAATTTAATATAAATAACGTGTATATAGACATCCTTCTAGTCTTTTCTCTAAGATACAGAGAAATCAGTCAGAAGTTCAGATCTGCAGAATCACGACTGCTCCTAATAAGTGTTGCAGAAGCAGTAAGAACCAGGAAGAACCATCAGTTTCCCCGTTTCTTCTCTTTTACCCTTTTAGAAAGATAGAAAAATAAGCACTTCATTATAACTTGAATTTTCTAATTTTAAAATGCAATGGTGATTTTAAGACTAAAATTGACACTTAATATTCTGTAATCAGCAGAATTCATCAAGATAATTAACATTATGAAAACAGAACATATACCAAGCTCTATTCACCTAATGAAACAATCCCTTTCCTCCCAACAAAACCAAGTCAAGAATTAAAGCATTAAGAATATATATATGTATTTTACCTTTAAATGTTTAAAAATCCCAGCTGCAATTTTTAGACTTCGATGAACTTCTTTTGCTTCATCTTCTGTTATGCTTAAAGGATAGTAATTACACTTGAGGATAACGTCTGTTTTTGATATTAAAACCATCAAGTAATACATTATCATAAAACACAATTACTGTATTTTTTCTTAAATAATGCACCCACACATAAAATGCACATGGCATATCTAGGAAAATACACGTGAGGAGGTTCACAGTTGGCAAAAAAATGTACAATGCACGTGTTATTTGTGTAAAAATATGGTGCTTCTCACCTCTGATTTTCTTCCTTTAGAAAAATCTAATTTTGACACTTAAAAAATTAAGAAACTCACATGAAAAATATCCAACAAGAAGATGCTATAAATGAAAAGAGGCCCTGCCAAGAGGTAAACTCTGAACAAATTATTTTTCGTTTTTCCTTCCAGACATCTTCTGGGCATAAGCAAGCATGATACATTCATTACACATTTAATGCATGCACACTCTTAAAAAACACCTACATATACAATGGTAGCTATACTTACGATTCTGCCCTTGCTTTTTAATCACTTAACACACTTTAGAGATGTATTCTCAAAATTAAATTTTATTTCTAAATGGCTGCATATTATTTGTAGGTATTGGTGCACCACCATTAATTTGCCAGTTTCTTATTTGTAGTATCCCTTCTTGCTATTATAAAAATTGCATCTTGCATGGTAATTTTTGGATGCTTTAAAGCATCATTTCGCATGCTTATAAATAAGCCTTTGTGTTTCTTTTTTCTGTGACTTATCACGTCCTTTCTTCATTTCTAATAGGCTTATTTGTCGTCCTGTGTTCATCTGTAAAAGTTCTTTATAAGTTATAAAAACAATTTGTCACATGGGTTGCAATTTTTGACCAGTGTGTTGTTTGCTTTTTAACTCCATTTATGTAGCCAAATATTCAGTCTTTTCATTTATGGTTTCTTGGTTTGGGGTCTTATTTAGAAAGCCCTTCCTTTCCCATGACATGATTATAAATAAGATGTTTCCCTTTTCACACTATTCACATAATTCTGATACTTAAAATACAAAATCATAAGGCAACTTTTCACTTTTCCAAAGTACGACTTTTTATCAACAGCCTACATTTTTTAATAATGAAGCTTCATATATTTGAAAAGACATATATAACCCTCCCCTTTCAACTTACTTTTCTTTTCCAGCCAGTCTTGAAGCATATTTGGTATACCATAAAGCTACATTAAATCCCATGGAAATTAATTCAAAAACAGCATCCTGTTGGGCACTAGAATTACAAATATGATGAATTAAGTTCTATTACTGAGACATCTCTACATGAAGCCTACTATGCATCTAACTTAAAATTATAAACAACTATATACTAACTGATAGTATCCAAGGCACTATGGCACTATACAGAAAAAGCAATCCCTAAGTTTACTCTAATGAGCTCTGGCAGCACAATGCCTAAGGCATCTGAGTTACGAATAAACTTAAAAAGTTTTACTTTCTTAAGAAATATTTAATGCATCGTTTAACAGCTTAATTTTTTCCAGCACTGAGTGCTTTCAAATGGATCTACTGAATATATTTAATTTATAACTTTACCTTTAAATAAAGTAGTTTTGCTTATTTATGTGAAGGCTCATGAGTAACTCTCTCTTTTTATCCTTATTTTAACCTATTTTGTTCCTAACATGCTCCGTTTCTATTGTATCACATGTAAGCAGTAGTCTGAGCATGTACAGTTGAAAAATTTTTCAAAACATATACTCATAGCACATTTCTATTTGTTATTGTTACTATTATTTGGTGCCATCGAGTCAGCACTCTTAGTGATCCTGTGTACAACAGAACGAAACGCTGCCTGGTCCCGCTCCACCCTTACAATCCTTGCTATGCTTGAGGAAACTGTTGTAGCCACTGCATCTGTCAATCCATCCTGTTCAGGGTTTCTGTTTTTTTGCTGACCCTCCACTTGACCAAGCATGATATCCTTCTCCAGGGAATTGTCCCTTCTGACCACATGACCAAAGCAAGTGAGATGAAGTCTGCTATTCTTGCTTCCAGGGAGCATTCTGGCTCCACTTCTTCCAGGACAGATTTGTTTGTTCCTCTGGCCGTCCAATGGTATTTTCAGTATTCTTTGCCACCACAATTCAAAGGCATCAACTTTTGTCTTCCCTGTTCATTGCCCAGCTTATACAAGCATATGAGATGACTGAAAATACCATGGTTAGGTTACGTGCACCTCAGTCTTCAAAGTGACATCTTTATTCTTCTACACTTTAAAGAGGTCTTTTGCAGCAGATTTGCCCAGTGCAATACGAGATCTGATTTCTTGACTGCTGCGTCCATAGGTGTTGGTTGTAGATTGTAGTAAAATGAAATCTCTGACAATTTCAACCTCTTCTCCATTTATGATATTGCTTCTTGATCCAGTTATGAGGATTTTTGTTTTATTTAGGTTGAGGTGTAATCCACACTGAAGACTGTGTTCTTTGATCTTCATCACTAAGTGCCACAAGTCTTCTTCACTTTTAGCAAGCAAGGCTGGGTCCTCTGCATATTGCAAGTTGTTGATTAGTCTTTCATCAATCCTAATGACACATTGCTCTTCATATAGTCCAGCTTCCTGGATTATTTGCTCATCATACAGACTGAAAAAGTATGGTGAAAGGATACAACCTTGATGCACCTCCTTCCTGATTTTAAACCACACAGAAGCCCCTAGATCTGTTTGAATGACACCCTCTTGTACACATACAGGTCCTTCATCAGGGCAAATTAAATGTTCTGGAATTCCCATTCTTCTCAACATTATCCATAATATATTATGATCCACACAGTCAAATGCCTTGGCATAGTCAGTAAAAACAGGTAAACATCTTTCTTATATTTTTTGCTTTCAGCCAAAATCCTTCTGACATCAGCAATGGTCTCTCTTGTTCTATATCCACTTCTGAATCCAGCTTGAATTTCTGGAAGTTCCCTGTCAGTATGCTGCTGCAATTGTTTTTTAAATTATCTTCAGTGAAATTTTGTGTGTGATATTGACACTGTTTGATAATTTCCACATTCTGTTGGAAACCCAATGGAAGTTGCTATAAATTAGAACTGTCCCAACGGCAGTGGGTTTGGTTTTAGTTGGTTGGATCATCTTTCTTTAGAATGGATACAAATATGGCCTACTCTTCCAGTCAGTAGGCTAGCAAGTTAGGTGTCTTCCAAATTTCTAGGCATAAATGTGTAAGTGCATCGAAAGCTGCATACATTTGTTGAAACACCTCAATGAGTATTCCATCAATTCCTGCAGCCTTGTTTTTTGCCAATTCCTTCAGTGTAGCTTGGACTTCTTCCTTAAATACCAATGGCTCTTGATCATATGCTACCTCCTGAAACAGGAGAATGTTGCCCAATTCTTTTTTTGGTACAGTGACTCTGTGTATTCTTTCCATCTTCTTTTGATGCTTTCTGAATCATTCAATATTTTGCCTATTAAAGGGAAAAAACCAAACTCACTGCCATTGAGTCAACTCCAACTCATAGTGACCCCCTTTGGGTTTCCAAGGCGGTAAATCTTTATGGAAGTAGACTGCCCAGTCCTTCTGCAGAGCGGCTGGTGGGTTTGAACTGCCACCCTTCTGGTTAGCAGTCAAATGCCTTGGGCACTACATCACCAAAGCTCCTACAGAATCCTTCAATACTGTCACTCGAGACTTGAATTTTTTCTTCAGTTATTTCAGCTTGAGAAATGTCAAGCATGTTTTTCCCTTTAGGTTTTCTAACTCCAGATCTCTGCACATTTCATTGTAATACTTTACTTTGTCTCCTCAAGCCTGAGCAACATGCAAGCACTACAGAACAACAATCCGACAGATGAGCTGTGGAGTATTTTCTATTTAATAAGTAGCAATCTAACCTAAAATAACTGAAAAGTCTTGGATGTACTGAATAGTCAGTATTACTTAAAGCCTGCATTGCATAATCTTCATTGTCTCATAAAATTGAGCTGAAAAATATTAAATAATTAGCTTATACAAGGAAAGAATTTGGCATGCTGTAGGCAAAAATGCCAAATTTATGAAACATAAAACATTTTAAATGCTGCCAATGTTTTCCAATGTAACGAACATAAAGAGGCTTGATTCTTTTAAAAATGTAATTTTGGGGGATATATTCTTTAATTTTGGATGAACAAAGGCGTGACACAAAAACAAAATGAAGACTTAGATAACCACAGTATTCTAGAACATTAAGATCTGGCGGGATTCAGAGTCCACAATTCATATCCAACTTATGAATTCTATGTATAATATTCACAAGGAAGGAATGAAACTAACAATTATTGAATGCCTACTATATGCCAAGCATTACATTATTCACTTCACATAAATTTTATTTTGTTCCTCATAAAAACTGTATGAAGTATCTGTAACCTTAACGTATACTAGAAGAAGTAGCTGTTCACACAGTAGAAGACTTAGGATTGCATTCCAGGTATGCATGAATCCAAAGTCATATTCCTTCCACTAGAATGAATTAGTCTGCCTTGGTCATTCAGCAATCTCTAATAAATTTACTTCCTTACTTTTTTGTATGTATACAAAGGTAATTCTGAAATAAACTGAGATAAAGATATTTAACTATTTAAAGAATGTTGGTATAAAAATGGTGGTTAAATAAAAACATTATGATTTGTTTCCTAATGAACTTATAACTAGTTCAAGTGAGTAAAGAGAAAGCTCTGACGGAAAGTTTTGGAAGGAAGAAAATACTGTCAGTCAAGGGAGTACTGAATTAAGGCAGACCTGGGAGGCAGTGGGGAGAGGAGGACAAAGACTGACCAAAGATTTCTGACCTAACCATCAAATAAATAAAAGTAGAGGAAAAACTAAAATTCTGCTCTACCTGAATGCAGGTCAAGACCGAAAGACAGGTTTGGATTCCAAATTCCCAAACCATTCTTTGTGTGTTTAGAATGCTGTTAAGAAAAGTTAAAACTGTGTAATTTTAATTAACATTTAATTTGTAGTCATTATCTTAAAAACAGGTTTAGTCCAGGAGAATCAAGTTATATTTTACTTAACAGAATGTGTTAAGAGTTTAGATGCAATGTTTTTTTCTTTTTCTTTCTTTCTTTTTTTTTTTTAATTAGGATTTGGGTGAAGATTTACAGAGTAAATTCCCTTTTCATACAGCAGTTCACATATACTTTGTCTCATGTCA